AAACTAAAAGTATTTATTCATAATAGATGCTGTATAAACATTAAACTTGCTTAATTCTCAAGTGTAAACCATAAATAATGAAAATGAAACCTTAGCGTAATACATGATTGCTCTTCTGGTGGAATTGCTCATGTGTAAATGCAAATTTGCTCTCTGAACAAAATATATTAAATTAGCCGTTGAATAAATGTATACCTATTTATCATGTGATAAATATGCATTAGAATGACCATGTAATTTAAATGGTACTTACTTTGAAGGAAGTCTCTTAGATTCATCTCTGCACATCTTGCAAATCCAACACTTCCGTCTGCTCATTTTTCTAAGGCAATACAGAATATACTTAGTATAATTTAGTCATTTAAAATAATTATATGCTACAGTCAGTGTCTCAGGAACACACAAAATTATAAATCATGAAAAAATAAGCACGAGTTTTTGAAATTAATGGGATACAATCACTGGTGGGGGTGGGGAGGAGAGAGGAGAATAAAATAACTCATCTCATAAATATTTTTTAGAAATATAGGTACTTAGAGTTGTGACTTTAGAACCCATCTCGGCCATTTACTCATCCTAATGGTGTTTAAAACAATACAGCTTACTGAGAAAGATCTTCCCATTTAGGGCCCACCGACAATGAATTCAACTCCCAAGTCTTCCCTTTCTTGGGTAATTCTTAGTTTTAGAAAGACCTCTCAATATATTGAACAAGAATTTGCTTCTTTGTAACTAGCCAAAATAGTGTAAATAGCTAAATAAAAAATAAGATTCCTTGAGGGTAAATTCTGAGAAGGGGATTGCTTACCTGGTTTTTTCCACTCTTGGCAGTATAACATTGGCTTTAAAATTCAGGTACAGTTTACTCAGCCCAGGCTTTATATAACAGTGTATGTCACAGAGGGTTTTAAACTCAGGACATTGAGAAAACAACTCAAAAATTTAAGAATAATTAAATCCACAATTTATAATGAGAGCTGGAAATGTTTTGCTAAACATATATGCACACTTACACACAATGAATTATTAAGGATAACGGTGAGTTTTTATATCAGTCTTCAGTGATTCATTCGAAACATCTGTTGAACACTAATTATGTGCCAAGTTCTGGCTGCCAGTGATCTATGTAGATCCTGTCTTTTCCTCTTCCTATCCTCACTAGCAAGCAGTTAAAGTCCATGTGATGGGGACTTTGAGACAGGAGGTCCAGTGGGCCGTGAGTACACACAGGAGGAGAACCTACCCAGACTTGGGGGTGGTTAGACACGGCATCCCAGTATAGTAATAGTAGAGCTGGAACCCACAGGACGTGCAGGAATGTGCTGAGTGAAAGGGACAGGACAGCTTGGGCAATGGGTCATGTCCTAATTGAGGAAATGAAAGGAATGTGGTCATCTCATGAATCTAGATTATGGCAAGGAGGGAGCTGAGAGCACAGGCTAGAGAGTTAAGATTGGACCAATAATCATGTTCAGAAATGCTCGTTGCAGCAAGAAAGCAATGAGAGACGAAGTTGGAAGACATGCAGAAGCCGAGCATGTTAGGTCATACACATCATGAATTTCATAGTAAGGAGTTGGAAAATCATTGAGGGTTTTAAAATATGGACTAGACATGCTAATATTTGAGATGGGTTTTGTGAGCAGAATTGATTGTAAAGCAAGGGTGGAATCCGGAAGACCTGTTAGGAGATTGCCTGCAGGAGTGCAGGTGAGGGTGTTGTGGGCTTAGATTAGGAAGGTGGCAGGAGAGATGGAGGGAAGAGGGCAGATTTTAGATGTGGTGGAGAACTTGATGTACTGGATGTGGAAGGTGCGAGAAAGAAAGGAAACAAGTTCGGATGAAAGATTTGACCTCAAGATAAAGGTGGCAGTTTTTACAAAGCACATAAGAGAAACCAAAAGAAAAGATAAGATGGCCCAGGAAGAGAGTATGAACTGAGAAAAGCAGATGGCCCAAGACACATGACTCAGAGACACACTGAGAAAGTGAAGCCTGCAGGAAGACAATCAGAGTAATACGGTATCATAGAAACCAAGGGACGAGTTATCAAAAAGCAAAGACTAGTCAACTGAGTGTAAGAGCTGGGAAGAGATGAAGGGAACAAAGGAGGGGGGCACCTGAGTGGCTCAGTTGGTTAAGCATCCTACTGTTGATTTTCACTCAGGTCATGATCTCAGGGTCATGAGATCGAACCCTGCCATGCTGGGCATGAAGCCTGCTTCAGATTCTCTCTCTCTCCCTCTCTCTTTGCCCCTCCCCACACCCTTATGCCCTCTCCATGCACATGTGCACACTCTCTCAAAAAAAAAAAAAAAAGAGAGAGAGAGAGAGAGAGAACAAAGGACTGAAAAAATCCATCAGATTTGCTAACAAGAAGGTTATCAACAACCTTGGTGAGAGGGGTTTTGGCGAAACAGGGAGGGCAGAAGCAAGAGGGAAGAAAACAAGAGGAAATGGAGACTGGAACAAATGTGGGGCTACTTGCACTTTCTTTCTCTCCTTTTCCCTCCTTTCATTCCTGCCTTCTTCCCTCCCTCTCTCCCTCTTCCTTCTTTCCCTTCTGATAAAAGCCATGGACCAAACAGTATAACAGAGACAGAGAGGCAGGACTCTGCTGTCTGGCCGTTCGGGCCTGCACATCTCTAAGAGTCTGGTTCAGAAAGTCTATGGTGTGAGTAACCTGCCCTGAAATTGGCAACTGGTGTCCATGGAAAGAAGTTGCAGATATAGGAGAGAGGAGGAAAATCAATAGATTTTCAGGTTTCTGAAAAAAAAAAATGTTTTTTTAAAAGGAACTAGAATTCGGATTGTGGCAGATAGAACATTGGAGAAGTGGAAATAGAGGAAGAAATTGCTGTTTTCTTGTAATTGGAATGGGTGTAGATCTAAGTATATTTGCAGATTTGGGGATAAGAATTTATGGGTGTTGTGGCCTGATGGACTTCATTTTCTATATGGGTCTCTGCCGTAAGGAGGAGCAAGGGACAAGGTAGCTAAGTTTATCTACAGGAAAAAAACAAAGTTAGGACTCTTGTGATTGCAAATATAGATTCAAAGAATTTAAGCAAAAGAGAGAGTTATTATAAGGATAATTGTGTGCAGTTAGATTCTGGATGGCCTTGAACATTGGGCTCTATTCTGTTGTAGTCATAATTCACTGAGGTCTTTAAATAATAGTGTGGTGTAAATAAGATGTTTTGTTAGAAAGATAAATCTGACCAAAGATGATTAACACTGAAATAATTGAGGCTAAGAAATCTCTTACAGTGACTGGCTGTTCATAACTAATCCTGTGCATAACTGGATCCTGAATTAAATTTTAAGATTCTTGGGCGCCTGGGTGGCTCAGTTGGTTAAGCGACTGCCTTCGGCTCAGGTCATGATCCTGGAGTCCCTGGATCGAGTCCCGCATTGCGCTCCCTGCTCGGCAGGG